CAGGATAATTATGAGATCGACTTGTGCAAGCTGCAATCCAACATGCTTCACCAAATCTCAACAAATATTAAGACAAAACTGCACAACAGTGGCAAGGATGTGTATTTTTTGAAGTAAATAAGGGCTAATCTAAATAGGGTTTGTACTGATTTAATTAGATTGGTAGCTACGGACCATATTTACTAAAAAAAAAAACAAAAACCAAAACCAAAAAAAAAAAAACCCAACAAAAACAAAACCAAAAACCCAACAAACCCCTAACTATTTTATATATAGCTTTATATTAGAGCTATATAAACCCACATTTGATAATTAAGACATTTCAGCTAAAATTTCTCCAGTTTTTAATTAAATTAACCTAAGAATCTTAGACAAGCCCTAATTTTACATGCAGTGTGACTCAGTTACCAAAAATCTTGAAGTAAACTTAAGATTACTTCCATTTGCTCAAGGTATACTACCCACTTTTGCTATGTTCTTCGTATGTCATCAAGTGTGTCTAAAATGTGCAAATAACTAACTTGTCTCCAAAATGTTTTAACCTTGGAAGCTATAAAATGTTTTGCAACATTAAGAATCTGTTCTTATTCCTTATTGGTCCTTATGATACAATATTAGGTTCTCCTATTACTGTTTTTCAGAATATTTAATAATCTATATTTCACATCAAAGCTGAAAGGAGGGGAGGGAGCCTGAGGTTTGGTGGAGGATAGGGAATGCGGGGGGTGCAGGCAGGGAAAAGCATTATTTATCTCAGCTGTGTTGAAATTAAAGAACATGCAGCAATCCAGACAGTATGCAGACATCCCTGTCTGTTTTGCAGCCCTCCACCTATGAGAGTCACTGGGGGTCGGGGGGGGTGGGGGCGCAGTTAGAAGCAAAAGAATACTTTCCTCATGCAATTGCACCTTTGACATCCTATAAATAGCCCAAGTTACACAGGTACATGAAAATTGTACTGTGTAAGATTTCCACAGAATTCTTTAGGTATACCTCATGGTTAGGGCAATGCTGCTATTCCCTGTTCCAAACTTTCCAGTGTCCTGAACTATCCTACTTCAATGTCTTGTGTTTTATTTTTCTGGGTACACCAGAGTCACATTATCAAATTTCATCCTGGAGCTGAGTTAGATACTACAAGAAGCATACCTTCAGGAACCCAGACCCTAATGAAACAACCAAACAATGCAACGTTTACATGCAGTAAGACAACAGGAGCTGGCAACACTGGAATTACTGGCTGTTACTTCAGTGCAGAATACCTAGACTACTGCAGTACCAAAAAATGAAAGCTTCTGCAAAAATTCTGCATTAATTCCAATCAGAGAAAGAAAAGGGGGGTGGAGAGAGAGTGATCACAAGAGAACTTAAATCACAGAGAGAGACAACAGTAAAATCTTGGTCTAGCTTCATGACAGTCTAGACACTGGAATGCCACTCACCAACCATTTAATCTGTGCAACAAAACGAGTACTTCACGAACAGCACACAAACAACATTGACTCTGGAAACAATGTTCTATGCAGACAGTTTGTGCAAATTCCACACCATTTTTATGGCATAATGGGATTTCCAAATTATTTGCATGAAGCAGCTAAATTCAACTCATCCATTCACTCATTTGATGTTGCTACAATTTAAAATTCCTCCCCTATTTTGCACAAAATGGGCATCTGAAAATATTTAATGCCTCTCTTGGGGAAAAAAAAAAAGTATGGTTTTACTTTACTATATTGTTTAGGATTCATTCTGATTTAATTCTTATGGTAAATTCTGGATCCACATATGAATTAACCTAAGAATTTGAATCAACTTATCTGTTAAGGCTTTCCAGTATTTCCTAGAGACGCTAAGGGTGAAATCCTGTACCTACTGAACAAAGCTACTTACAGATTTGCCACTGGGGCACAGGAGAGCTAGGATTTTGCCTTGGTCTTCAGACACAAAAAAGTTAGTGAAAGTCTTAAAGCAATGCATTAACAATATCAAATCAACCTAATTCAAACTTTTACTTTTTCCATTGCCAGATGTGCATTGTTGTCTTTTTTTAATTTTTCTTTTTTTTTTTTTTTTTTTTTAGAAAAAATAGAGTATTTAAGGAGCGACCGAGACAAACTGCGGTGAAAAATCTTTTTTGTGAAAGTTTTATCTTTACATTCATTAAAGTTGATCTGAAATGCTACAAGACTAGATGCCTAGAAGCAAAATCTACAGGAAGACTATAAAGGCTTCTGGTCTCTATATTGCAGTCAGTCTAAAATAAAAGAAAGGCTGAAATGAAAGGTCTCTTTTGCTAACTAGTCCTTTTTCCCAACCAGATTTAAAAGCCAAAAAATTAAAGGGGATATCAGAAGATGTAGAGCATCACTTCATTGTTTGGTTTGCACACAGAAGTTCACAATCAGTAAGAAAAATAGGAAGTTAGCAACCATGCATGCACCAAAGAGTCCCAAGACAGTTCTCAGGTTTTTGTGTGTGGCTTTTTTTTTTTGTTTTTGTTTTTTGTTTCACAGGCATTGCTAGTTCAAGAACCAACAGTCAAAGAATACTGGCACTTTAAGAGGAATGAAGTTTCCACTGTCATTTAAAACAAGCATTCAGGTAAAGCTAACAGGATCATGAAGCAGAAAGTAAAGTAATGCTAAACCAAATGCTAATAATTTAGTGTAATGTACAAAAATTACTTAAGTACTTCTTAAGAATAAGGATAAACTGTATTTACATAATTACACACTTTGTCTTTGTCTTCTTTTTCTTCTTTTTACCATCTTTGCTCATCTTCTCTTTGTGTTTTCTGATTTCTCGAACTAATGTATAGAAGGCATCATCAACACCCTGAAAAGACACATACATGCACACATTAAGACCACCTTAACAGAGTGACACTGTACCTGCTTAGGTAAAGCCTGTTTTCACCTGACCTGATGAGGTGAACCGTTCAATCTATTTTGCTGCCTGCAAGGAGAGGTTACACTGACTTCTTTCTGAGGCTTTTATAAATGTACCCTTGAGTAGACTGTGGGTTATGGGAATTGACGGGGCAACAGGCCTCCCCAGCATTCCTGAAGGGGCATGCTGGGAGAAACACAGTCAGGTGGAAGGAGAACTGCAGTTGTCTCCTGTCATGTAAGGAGAGTCTGCCTGCGCTGCTGTGCATGGGCAGAGGGGGCTGCAGGAAAGCAGCACTGGAGAGTGGGCTGCCATTATGTGAACAATGAATCCTAGCTACAGGCTGTTCCTCTCCAGAGTTCTGAGCAGCACTGAAACAACAACATGAATGAACTGTGTTGATGCGTGCAACAGCTAACACCTGCCTGCCCTCTTTCTCAGCTGTTCCCCAATCTGGCCTTACAGCACCCTATGGGTGATGTACTGCTCAGGGGCTGACCGCAGACACCGCATAAGTCCAATTCCATTATTATTACGGTAAGGAACATAATTTAGTGTACTGCCCTCTTCTCCATCTCAGAGGGCACACATTGTCTCACCTCAAACTAAAAAAGTACAGGTACCACATGTTTAGATTATATGTATGTATAAACATACATATAATCTAAATCATACTACCACAGAACAAAGTTATGAAGCATCAACTATCTTTGTTTATGCCTTAACAATCTATAGACAGCTTTAAAAAGTAAATACAAATATTTGTAGCAAGAATTCAATACCAAAGACATAGTTATGATTAATATCCATATTCAGGCAATTCCCAAGCAGTTTTATAAATCATTACTTACGCAAATCAGTCAAATCAATCCCATGTTCCAATGAAAATTATTATTTGATAAATCATTCTATTCAACTTAGCATACATGCAGACCACATTATCTATGGTGTTGTATCATGTACAGTCACTTAAAATCTCCACAACTCCAACAGTTAATCTAACAGACACAAAAGCTGATGTTTCTTCACATTGAGTAGTTTTGCTTTTTTGTGGGATAATTATAGCTGACAAAAAATAACTCTAGTCAAGAGACCAGCATATCTAAAAGCCAGATATGAACCATTATCAAAGTACAATGTTACATGTTATGCTTTGTAACAACCTATTTACATCAAAGAGTTTATTGCCCAGCTTTCAGGTTGTTCCAAATTCCAATCAAGTACCCATCAAGTAAAGGTTGTCAGTTAACCTTTACATTTAATAGTCTTAGTATGGACAGTTATGAAATGATTAAACTGAAAAATTATATTGATTCTTCACTGTCTTATTCCTTGTATTAGCTTTTAGATAGATCAGAAATAGTTGCATGATGTTAATGAATCAGCAGACAACTGCAACACTGTGGAACTGGGTCTAGCAATTTAGCCCTACAAGTGGCAGGCAGCTTCCTACCTCTTGTCAGCTACAGAGTTTACCTTCAAGGGGCCAACAAAAATTAAGACTCTGTTTACTCGTGTGTGCCCACTTCAGTAAAATAACTGAAAGTGAACTGAAAAAGCACAACAAAAAGCCAAAAATTACCTAATTCATTACTCTTTCAGTGAAACTCCAAATAGCAATGAAAGTTAATATGGGAAGTCCAAACAGTGAGGTGTTAAGTAGCTTCATTAATAAAGCAATGCTCCCAGTATAACCTCCATTTATTTAAAACCTTCACATTCAAGTTCATAAAACATTTACACATAACTGATGTTCAATCAAAGCCCTTGGCAGCCTATCTCCCAACACTAATAGCACACTTTTGCAAGGTCTTGTAATATACAAAACACACTTGCAAATACCTTTTTCTACATTTTAAAATTTTATTGATCACTATAAGATTGACGTAGCATGCCTAATGGAAGAGTAGCCTCAGTTCTGGAAAATGTCATGTCCCTCATGAATCTTCAGGGAATTAGAAACACTTGATATTGGTTTACAGGCAGCTACTGTATTTTGTGTATAACTTGAGCATTAATGCACCAAGTGAACATTCAGCAATGTTCACGTAGGGAAATTATCTAGAAGTAGTGACGGTTCAAAGTGCATGTCCTGCAGTTCTAATCTCAGCTAGGAGGACACTATTAAGAAACAATCCCAACAGGCAGAAGTTTCATTATTAGAACATAAGAACGGTGTAAGAAAAATCTCTGCACAATATTCTACAAGACTGTTCACATTTCCCTACAAAACTACCTTTCAGTATTTCACACTGGTCATTAATGTGTTGGAAAAATTCTCGTTATGAGGACAGTCGCTGGCTTTCAATGGTGTCTTCAAATGAGACATGCTAAACAAAAATTGCAATTTAAGTCTTCAAATGAGCAACCCTTCCTCATTAAACTGGTTTTAAAATAACTACAGAAAAAATAACTTGTACAAAGTAATATCCAGAGACTATTATAGGCCTTTAAACACAGGACTTCACAATTAAAGCTGAAATCTTTATTCTACCCAGTAAGGTGATGATCTGTTAAATACAATGCATGTTGCAAAACATGAGGGAACTGACTTGGCTTTCTTCCTTGCATTTACACCTTTGAAGATCAAGCCATTAAAATTATTAATTATGTATTTAGTAGTTTGGTCCTGCCACAATTCCTCTTAAATTCACATAATGTAACATGACATTCAAAACTACATTTAGAATACTTGTGAATTAGAACTGGAGAACTCCAGGTAAACTAAGATCTTTCACTTTTCAGTCTGTCCATTAAATGTTAGATATAAGTAGTGGATATGGTGTTACAGAAGGTCCCTAAAGGCATCAATACTGTAAGATCAAAGGCAGTGAACCTTTCTAGTTACTTCTTTCAGTAATAAGGGACTGCATGCAGCTGACCTTCCTTCCTCTAACAATGGAGTTATTGTGTGCAAGCCTTTTGGAAAGCATAAGATGTACTGAATGAGTGCTTTAAATCGAGGCTCAGGATTAGAAACTAAAAATTCACTGTGCACACTCAGAACTATACCACACTGCCTCCATAAAGGTGCATTGATAGAGCTTGCTCCTGGCACTTGTTTTTCCAAAGGGCAACTACAAAAGGCAAAAGGAACAGAAATATTAGAACTGTTCCCACAGAAACAGCCTGCTTCTGGCTACAACTTTTCTTTGGAGCACCACACGTTCCTGTGGTCATATAGAAATCTGGGTATGTGGTTGCATGGTTACAAGCATGCATGAGACTCGGCAATTAACCTGACTATCAATAAGAAACCCTAAATTCATTTAGGAATTAGGAATTCCTTAACACCCCAGCCCCAGAAATACAATCAATCACAAAATGGTTTAGGTTGGAAGGGACCTTAAAGATCATCTACTTCCAACCCCTTCCACTAGACATATGTAGACCCTTAAACGAGTTAATTGTAGAGTCTTTTTTATATTTTTCTTTAAATATACAGGACATGCACACATACACATATGAGTCATGAGGAAATGATTTGTACATCTCTAGTACTGTGGGAAAAAAAATCATTAAATTACAGTTTTAATCAAGAATCTAGAAATATTTGCATTCAAATCTAGAGCTTTTGTAATTCAAATTTTTTACTATTAACCCAGCTCAATCTGAATTACATTACCTAGATGTCTAATTTAAGCCCTAGAGACATTTTAGTTACAGGTTGATTTTTATGTAGAAACTTTAACGCTTTCAAGAAAGAGATCTTTTGAGAATTTTAGACTGAGTTTTAGAAATTTCTTCTTGCTAGTTAGAAATTACAAACAGAACAAAAGACATTCTGTACTTTCTTCTTTACTGTGTTACAGCCAAAGGAATCAATCTCTCTGAAAGCATCAGCAGTTAATGGTAATCTGGGTAGTCAGTTCTGTTACCTTGTACAAGATTAATGTAACTAAGTAGGCATCCCATAAGTAGCAAGAAAATAAACTGAATATTCCAAGAGACAGCAAAACACTGTGAGCCAAGTAATTTGATTATCCAGAGCAAAAAAGTAAAATAAATGCTGTCATTGCAAACTGTTATAATGTGTATTTCTGAAGTCTAAAATCGCAGCTGAAAGACTCGCATCATTAGGTGCTGCTCCCCTTAGCTATCTACTATGCATCAGACTGAATTAACACGACTTACTGAAGGTAATACAAGCCAGACTGCTTTAAATGCCAGATTTCTTATTCCACTACAAACATTACAGAACTACAGCTGTACCACAATAATTTTGAAACATGTTTCTCCAGCTTAGCCTCTTAAATAGAAAGTTGCTGAAATTACTATCAACACTACATAGAATTCACTTGAGTATAAAAACAAATGCTTCCTCCCCTGAGCAGACTCTTGGAAGTTTCTACAGTTTTAAACCCAAGACTATTTTCTAAGATGGAATGGAGGGGGGGGGAGGGAACACAAAAAAAACCCCAAATCAAAACCAAACAATACCCACTGTTGATAAAAGTTTTCACTTGTCTGGGGAAAAAATAACCACACAAACCCCCAAAAACATACTTCTCTTGGACAAAGGCAGAAAAAAGTAAGAAGCTGGTAGCAAGAAAGCACATATTCACTGAGCTATCAAAAAGAATCTTAAAATCTGAAAAGATGCTTCCAGTGGAAAAAAAAAAAAATAAATACTGAAATCCACAATTCCCACCATCCTGTTCTCCTTCTCCCAAGAAAGTCCACAAAAAGGAAAAGCAGACAGATTCCGGATCTTTAAAGTCACAGTACACAAAAAAAAAATTCTACTTTGAGATATGGCTACATTAGCAAGACAGCAAGAAATGGCAAAGTTGG